ATGCACCAAGAGCTTGTAACACTCCAAAGAAATAATATTCTTTTTAGCAACATCATATGACCCCTTTAATGTATTTTATTGTGTATGAGTATTTTATTTTTTATTTTTTTTACACAAGTCTCGTTAAGTGCCGGTCCGGCTCCAAAAACCTGTTCACAGTGAAGGGGGCGTATCGGTTCATAAACCCAACCAATGAAATACGCTCTCACGGTCCACACTCGAATCCTATTGGTTTGACCATCGTCAGACTTTGAAGTCAAGAACGCTGTCACACAAGAGACAACCGTGAACAAGGGTCAAAGAGAACGATTCAGTACCTTAAAAAGATTTGTTCGAAAACCCAAGTTCGTTCATAAACACCAATAGGGCCCCAACCCATTTTGTATTTTACCGAGGTGTGGTTTTAATCCCGCCTCACTTTTGAAGGGTGTAAACCGACGGAAACTACACTACTCACAAGCCCGGAAAAGAACGGTTTCGTTGCGACTACTCCGGAGTCGTGGACAGCTGTGCTTGTTACGTCAAGAACAATGGCAGAATTTGTTAAAGCGCAAATTAAGGGTGACAAAGTAGTTGTGTTCTTGAAGCCGACCTGTCCTTACTGCATACTCGCTAAGGATGTTTTGTCGAAGTATAAATTGAAAAGTGGACACTTGGATTTGATTGACATCAGCGGACGCAGTGACATGGGCAGCATACAAGACTGTCTTCAACAGATCACAGGCGCCCGCACCGTGAGTACTTTGACAATGGTGTATTATATCTATTATTATAGTATTATTATATATATAAAATGTTTTGTTATATTAGGCCAGACCGTCAGTCATTACGTCACACAATCACAGTTACTTTAATTCGAAATATAGAGTCTAAAATGCAACTATGTATGAACTTAAAATGAAAGATTTTTAATCTTCTTCTGAGTGAATTTTCAGTCCCATAGTTTATTATTATGGTGGCAAATATGACGAGATTGTTTTTAGCCGCATATTCACACAAATGCTGAGTCACCAGTATTTTGACCAGCAGCTTTGACCCTGCCCATTGCAAATGTTTAATCATATGCTTTTTTTCATTTAATTTATTCCATTTATTTACATCCATGTATTCTCCATGTATTCTTTGCAGGTTCCTCGGGTCTTCATAGGGGAACAGTGTGTTGGAGGAGGAAGTGACGTCGACAGTCTGGACCGTTCTGGAAAACTGGAAGGCATGTTGCAGGCAATCGGATCTCTGCAGTGAAGGTATACTTCACAGTCCTTCTTCATAATATATTAAAAACAAAATATACAACATCATTACACCAGTGGTTCTAAACTGGTGTAGCTTCAGGGCCCAGATTTTACATTAGACATCAAGTGGCCACCAACCCAAAATTGTGTATCGTACACAAAAATATCCATAAAATGTTTTTAAAAACGGCCTTTTCTCTCGGCAGCCAGTAATTCATTCCACAAAACATATTTTGGTCAGCACAAACCATATTTGACCTACAATTTAAATGCAATCTGGCTCCAGTGTTATTTTAGTATCACTGAAAAAATTTTCTTTTTTTTTTATATATATATATATATATATTTGGACATTTTTTTTTTTTTCATTTTAGTTATTTGTCACTTTTATTAGCTTTTGGGTTTTTTATATGCCTATGTACTGTAGACTTTATTTCAATGCTTTAGTTATTTTAGTTAAACAAGGTTAACAACATTAAAATGAGAAATGTTGCTTTGGCGACTAGTTGAAATTTTTTATATTTGATAAAAAAAAAAAAAAATTTGTATTTCAAGTAACACAATTTCACTTAACTATAATAACCATGTTTGGCTCATGTTGTCTGTTACCCCACATAGTTTTCATCTGCAGTATCATTGCTTTTCCCACCATCAACGACCATAGTAGAACAGACTTGTGATTCATTTTTGGGTCACGACCCACCCCTTGAGAACCACAGGTTTCGATTTAAGCCAAAGACTCTCAGAGCAAACATGCATCCTGATGCAATATGTGCTCGACCGTCCATTTTCAGTGTAATGAATAATCTGTGAATTTTAACATCTTTTACTGTACTCAGTTGATTGGACTGCCAAAGGTACAGCATTTTCACACAAAGATGATGCCCCTAAAATTTAATTGAATGAAATACTAGCTTACTAATTAAATACTGTGCAGTATGTATGGTTAAACAGTAGGCATTATGTAATGATAAATGTTTCAAACAATAGTATGCTATTGCATGCCTTTGTATGGTTTAGTTTTAAGCCACAGACCCTCAGAACAAACACACATCCTTCTAAAATGTCTTTATTCAGCATGAGATGAGGGTCAACATAACTGGATTAGACTAAAGACAGCCAGAATCGGCTCTACGTCGACCATACCAACTTCACTAAGAGACGATCCACATGCTGGATGCGTACTTTGTACGTTATTAGTTGAAATAAAAATCTCAGATGTACATGTTACAAAAATAGTTGCATCAAATTAATCTCATGGGGGAAAAAATAAATATTTTAAATTTATTCAAGTCATATTGCCGGAGTAACCACTGAATTCAGAAAGAAAGAAATCTCACCATGACAAAACATGGCTGACCATGAGAGTGACATCAGTCTCTGGAGAGAGTATAAGATCGACCCTACCCTGTTTAATACTTTGGGGTTAATCCATCGCAGAGGAAATTTATTGCACCAATCAGGCGTAATTGTTCGTATAGTATTATCCACATAGAAGAGTACTGGCGCATAGGATCCACCAGTGAGAATTCACAGCTGTCTGCTTAATATCACAGGGTCAGAGGTCAATGTTCGTGTGAATACAGTACATCAGAATCCACTGTCAACCCAGAGGTCAAACAAAGGTCTCTTTCATCCTGTATTTAAATAAATCTCCAATTTGCATCCTCTGTTTTTCGCCCTCCCTTCCGGTCCGCAGGGCGTCAAGAAGGGGTCACATGATGCTGCAGCGAGACTTGCGGATCTGCCGCCTGCGTTGCTGGTACTCGCTGAGCTCCTGTAGGTAACCTCTGGAGGGCCAGCGCAGTCGCTCCACCTGCTCGCGCTCCTCGTCTGTCAAAAAAGCATCATCGGGAAATATTGTTACAACATTCCCTCCTGCTGAATGCCAGTGCATTTAAACAAAGCATTATATCCATCCACCAGATTTTTTTTTATCTTGTTCTTCAATTGAAATATTGGCTGAAAATAATGTAATTGTCTCTTATATGTGTTTCTCATTGAGTGTATTTTAAAAAAGAAAAGAAATTAGAAGATCTTAGATTAGATCTTAAAAAAACCTGAAGGGAGCTTGATGAAAAATAAATATTTTTCCTGTCACGGTTTGCTCGTTCCAATCATTGACTCACAAATACACAATTCATGAGATGACACTCTTTTATTTATTCTCCAACTGCGTGTGGTAGGGCAGGATGTGCTAATTAGGTGTAATGATGATTCATTCATTTCAAAAGTGACCTTACATTTGCTCTCAGTGTTTCAGAATAAAGCTTTGACAGAAGCCGGTAGTGATTTGCATGGGCTTATGTGCAGCACCAGCTGTTAGAAGTGCTCTCAGGGTGTTGGGAACAGGCTTTTGTCACAGTTAGAGACGATTATGTGTGTGCATGTGATTTAATGTGCTTGAACATGCTTTCCAGGTGGTCAAGTGGACTTCTCACCTGATAGCTCCAGGAAGTCAGGCTTGTGGCTGAAGATCAGGTAGTTATTGGCAATGAAATGGAGGAGCCAGACATATAGCTGGTCAGCGTTGTGACACTGTGACGAGAGAGAGAGTGAACATGAGACCAGATAGAATGTTAGAGACTAATAATAAACATGTTGGAAGTATCACAGATGGCATTTTCGGGATAGTATACTACTGTACTTATACTATTTTTAGCAATTTTGAAAGCAAATGTTTGGTATGCATGGAAAAACCCTATGATTTAATACAGTTGATCAAATGTGTAGTATACAATGCTCTTATTTTTTTTACTAAAACTATCAAAAATTATTTTCAGTACTTGAAAAATATATAAATTATAGATGAAAAAAAAAGAAATTGCTTTGGCAGCTACCTAAAAGCACAAAAAAACGCATAAAAATGACAAAACTACGTAAAATGAATAAAACTTAAACTAAAATTCAAATAAAAACAAAACATAAAGATAACAGCTAATTAAAAATATTAATAAAAACGATAGTGTATAAATAATACTACAATAACAATAATTATTAACAATAATCTTTTGAACTTTCTATTCATCAAAGAATCCTGAAAAAAAAATGAATCACAGTTTCCATCAAAAATATTAAGCTGTTTTCAACATTGATAATAATAAAAAATATTTATTGAGTAGCAAATCAACATATTTGTATGATTTCTGAAGACTGGAGTAATGGCTGCTGAAAATCTGCGTTGCCATCAAAGGAATATTTTAAAATATATTAAAATAGAAAACAGTTATATTAAATTGTAATAATATTTCCCAATATTACTATTTTTACAGTATTTTTGATCAATTTAATTCAGGTCAGCACAAGTGACCTGAATTTAATTCATTGGTCAGCACAAGTGGCTTCTTTAAAAAAAAATTATAATTTAAATCTTACCAACCCCAAATGTTTGAACAGTAGTGTATATTACAGTTTGAAAAATATATCTTTGCATACTGGTTCACATACTATATATTTTTTTAAAATAGGCAATATGGGGTATATATATTTTAACTGTTGGCAGTGTTCTATTGTGATATTATGGGTCCAAAGCACTCAAAGCAAAGGAAATAAACCTTCATCAAACAAAAAGTCATTAAACACACCCCTGCTGACATAGAGGTGTAAAGACTCACCTTTGCTTTCTTCAGTAAGCGAATCACGCTGATGCCCATAGACGCTAGCTCTCGACTGGGCATACTCTGAAGATACGCGCAAACACACACCTCACACAGGTGCTGCAGCCGTTTCACTTGGTACATCTCTGCGCAGACGAGCACGGCCATGGCCTGCAGCACACTGGCTGAACACACAGACACACAGCACTGTCAATCACCTCCTGTTTTCCCCTCCATCAACCTCAGTTCATATTCACCCACTGCCAATCAAGCTCAGTCTTTATTTGCATCTTTTCTCTCAACAGCATTGTTTATTGTCTTCAATATGAAAGGCAAAGCATCCATCACATTGATTGACAGATGAGTGAAGCAATCTGACATACTAAACCATACTTCCTTCATTGTTTAATGATAAATACGACCTGAATCACTACATGTCATTATGATTGAAACATCTGGATTATGTTGCACTATACAGTGAATATAAAAGGCCATTGTTTGGCACAACGCACAGAAGAACCCCTTCATTCTCACTTCATATTGTAAATATTAATATTATTACCTAATAAGAAAAAAAATTAAGAACTGAAATAGTTTCTTGAGCAGCAAATCAGTATATTAGAATGATTTCTGAAGGATCATGTGACACTGAAGACTGGAGTAATTGCTGCTTTGCCATCACAGGAATAAATGATAAAATATATTAAAATAGAAAGCAGTTATTTTAAATTGTAATACTATTTCACAATATTACTGTTTTTACTGTATTTTTTTCATCAACTAAATACAGCATTTAAAAATCTTACTGACCCCAAACTTTTGAACAGTTATGTAAGTTTTCAGTAAAACACTATTTTATGAAGCAAATTAATTAAAGGGATAGTTCACCCATGAATACTGTTACTACTGATAACATAGTGTATTAGAACATCTGAAACACTTTATTGACCAATCAGCATCCGGGACCAGAACTATCTATTTTATAAGAGCATTTAAAGGGATAGTTTGCCCAAAAATTAAATCCCTGTCATCAATTACACATCTTCATGTTGTTCCAAAGAAGAAGAAAAAAAGACATTTTGAAAAAAGGGTTAAACTCTGGTGGATAGGTTTGGACACCCCTGCTTTAAAAGCCTTGAAAACCACACTCTCACCTGGACAGCAGGTGTCAGTGTAGAGGTACTCCAGGAAAGCTAGAAAGGTATCGGATGAGACTCCATGGATTGGCACCACACGACTTCGTGCCTCTGCGTACTTCCCACTGAACATGGCAGCCATAACATCACAGCGGGCCACAAGTACGGCTCTGTGCGCTGGCAGCACGCTTCCTGAAAGCAGACGCACAGCTGACCTCTTAAACACACCCATGGGGTCAAGCATTACAGAGGAGCTCTGACTTAAACACAAGCCCTTCCCTTGTACTTTCCACCTTTGAGCACTCTGAATCAATGCATCATTGTGTGTGCCTGTGTGTGTACATGGTCATGCACATGCAGGGTTAGCATTGACTCTTGCCTTGCACCATGAAGATGACATCAGAGTATAGAGGGGAATTGAAGAGGCTTCCTAGTGTCAAAGGACCTTGTTGAGAGCGAGGTGTGGGTGTGTCCCTGGGGGCCTGCAACCAGAACGAATCAACACTGCAGTGCACAATCTGAGGCGATGAATACTGTTAACTGTGAGCATTTATAATTGAGAAATCAGGTCAGCCATGCAAATCATTAAAAAAAAAAAACCTTTGCACAGTTCGGTTCTATAATCAGAGCACCACCTGTCTGTCAGAGGGATACCTTTTCTCTCCCAACGAATGAGCGTATCCTGTCCATCAGCTGGGCCACGGCCAAAGGGTTCTTCAGTTTTTCAGCAATGGCTTCCTCCAAGTATTCCCATTCCCAGGCCCCTGCGAAAAAATATGAACATGAACTATACCAGGACACAAAAAGCCACAAATAATGTGGTAGAACAGCTGTTTTCCTCAAGAATCAAGCTTTCTTGGTGGCAGCTAAGAAAATAATATTTAGCTGGTGTTATTTCATAGTAAAGACATAGTTTCCACTGTTCTGTCACATAAAAATGTTCATCCGTCACAGTTCAGCTGGTTTAATATTAACTCGGCCTCATTCATAAATCTGTCTAGACACAAACCGAGCGGGATTTGATCCGAAAGAACCACGCACAATGAGTTTCCGTGCATCATTTACGTTAATGTAACGACTGCCCTTGGCTCACGGTAGGAAAATGGCCTCTGGAAAAATCACACTATATATCAGCAGCGGGGTGGGAGGATCTCATCAGTATGGGCCTCACCTTCTCACCTTCTGAGCATGGCCTCACTCTGATAAATGAGTCTGTAATATCCATTCCTGTTTCCTGGACTGTTAAAGCCCCGACTGAACACCTGATTGAGATGCATGCCCATCCTACCAGCCTCCATTCTGCATCAGAGTTCCCAAAGAATGGAGAACGGGATGTAATACTCCTGACTTGTGAGGAATGTTGTGGCAGGCTAATACAAGCATAGAATCACAATTGTGTACTTGGGTGAATGTTACGAAAACATGTCCATGACACACTTCACCCCAAAATCAAAATAAATGTATTGTTTGCATAAAGAAAATGCTCTGTGACATTATGTTCATGACATTTATGTTTTTCCCTCATTAAAAAATGTTTATTAAATTAGAAGTACATGTTAGGCCTTAAAAAAGCTGTTCCAATTTACATGGAGCATGTTACCTCATGGCAGCTGCCATGTTGAGATCACATGACCAGCTAAATCTACTTGCTTTGTCTTGGTAACCCCCTTAATATAAGGAATGTTAAGCTCACAGAATAAATTAAACATGGCTGATTTGAATAGCGCATTTCTACAACAGCATCAGTAACTGAAAAAGTTTGCTGTTGCGTGATGCTGCTTTCACACCACTAGGAGTCAGTATTATTATATGCAATAATTGTATTGTGTGGTTTGCCATATAGCTGCCAATACAAACAAAAAATTACAGAGCGCAATCCTTATTACCTTAATGCTTCTGGATGCTTTATTTTTTGTTATTTTGTTATTCCCATTATTCTCAGTGGTGGTGACTGTCGTTAGATTTTGTATTGTAAATTACTATAATACAATTGATTTTAAATCAGCATAAAATGAAGGCAGTTTAACAAATACTATGATAAAATTCAAATATTTTACGATTTAAATGATAACCATTTATTTATTGCATTATGGTAAAGCATAAAGAGAATTTCTTAGATAAATGCTTAAAAAAAAAAAAAAGTATTTAATGGCCCAAAAACAGCCAACCTTTTATTTAAGCAAAACATTATTTTTCTTTTGATTTTAAGGAGAAAATGTTTGTTTGTTTGTTTGTTTTTTCATTAATTTTGTTTGTATTGTATTGTATTATGGTAATGAGGATTAGGGAGAGTTCCAAGTTCCAAAAAC